ATTTGACAGGTGTCTCTGTGTTCTGGGTTCAGAGGGTTTTAACTCAGGAACACACTGCTGGGATGTGGAGGTTAAAGAGAGTCCAGGCTGGATTCTTGGAGTAACTACAGCATCAAACCAGAGGAAGGGGTGGGATTTCTTTAACACTGATGTCTGGAGTGTGCAGCACGGATATTCTGATCGGCTTGGTTTTGGTGTTAAACAGAAGCTTGAGCGTGTGAGAGTTGATCTGGACTATGACAGAGGAACGGTGTCATTCTCTGATCCTGTAACTAACACACATCTACACACATTCACAACCTCCTTCACTCACACACTCTTTCCTTTCTTCTGGTGTGGTTACTCATGCTCTCTGAGGATCTTAGCGTTCAATAGTCAGTAAATGTTACACCTGTAGATCTGGATCGACCTGCTTTCATCTTTTACACTCATTATGTTTCCAATATTTAATCCATATCACAATTTCAATATTTGTTCAACATTAGACTAAAGGAATGATTGTTTATTTCAGTTATAGAGGTTAAATGATACATTTGTTCATTGAGGTAAATCAGGGAAGGGTAACTGGCGGCCCGCAGTGTTTTTAAGTTCGGCCGCTGGATCATCTTATGCTTGGATGATCAATTTGACAACATTTGATAAGTAAGTCACGGAAAGATTGCTCTCAGTTTATGATGTTAATACTAACCGCTGACCGTATTAATTACAGTGTAGTAGGATGAGCACTCGAATATCAACATTCACTAACATTAGAAGAAAATAAATCAACAGTTGAGAGTGAAAATCATATTTTCCGGTCAAGATGGTAAACAGCTTCTCTTCTTAGCAAGTTCAAGTAGAAACCCATATGTTTGTATTGTTTGGAAGCGTAATAATGGCGTGGTTGATTTGAAGTCCTGTGTGTGGGGGGCTGAGAATTGACAACTGATTGTTCTAGTTTTGTTCATCTCTTTGTAAACTTACAAAATCAGCAGGGGATCAAATAAACATTTAACCCACTGTATGTCTGTTTAGTTTCTGTATGCAGCTGCAGCTCTCTCTGCTGGACAGAACACATTCACCAAGACAGTGTTTATAAAGACAATCATTAATATCATATTCAGCTGTTTTTGATGATTTTGTTCAAACAGGATGAAATATTTTAAGTAACACAAACCAACTAAAACCACAGAACATCACAGAAGTCTTCTATTGTATTGTGATGCTGTGATAAAAGAAAATCAATGATTTCACTCTTCAAACATTGTTTAATATTTAATGTACAAATATTTCCAAACTGTAAGACTTTATCCTGTGCTTTCAGACATATATAATGAAGGCATGACAGTATGCTGTATAACATTCACAGGGGATAGAGTCATAGCAATAAAATACACACACCCAGAATACAAAACAATAAATAAATCAAGAATAATACAAATGAAATATAAACAGAACAAAAATAAACAAATAAAAAGTTAAACTTTTTTTTTTTAAATAAATAAATCATAAATAAATCAAAATAAAAAAGAACTTAAATGGAATATTACACATAAAATGTCAACTTCAAAGAACACACAGGAGGTAACGCTTACATCAAAGTCAATATTTCTCCATCAATACAGTAGTTTCAGCAGCTTTCTTATTAAGTGATGAGCAGAGAGATACAAAAAATCCTAAATACAATACAAAAAATCCTCAAATTGGGCATACAATCAGTAACTATACATTTGTGAAGATGAAATAGGCCACAAAGAGTTAACAGTTTTAAGATATCAATCAGCTCCTTTGATCCTGATTCCCAAATTAAAAATAGTGCATTAATTACCTCAAAACTAAACAGTTTGTTGTAAGCTGAGAAAACAAGCCAAGATATTTCTTTCCAAAACTCCTTTGCATTTACATTACATTTAGTCATTTTGCAGATGCTTTTATCCAAAGCGACTTACAATTGGGGAATACATTTAGCGATTCTTCTTAAAGAGGCAAACAGACACAAGAAGTGCTTGTAATACCAAGTTTCTAGACATTGTTCAAATAAGTACAAGGTAAACAATGAATTCATCTTTTCTGTTTCTTATTGCAGTTTTGTATTGTTTGTAGTGTGATCAACGTTTGCATTAGTAGACGTGTTAGGGAAGTAACACGTAACGTTTTAATTGTATTTTGCTAAAATGAACGAAATGACTCGAAAGGGTAGATAGGGGTTGCACCGACTAATCAACTAGTCGACTTCAATGCTCTGCCATGACGCTTTAAGCTTGACGTCGACTAGTCGCTGGTCCTATAGAGGGCGCAACAGGATAAGAAATCTAATGTATTGTCAACACTGTTCTGTGATTTCTCAATAAAATAGCTTCGAAAATGAAAAATTCAAGCATATATTTCTTATTAACTAAATCTCACAGCTTCACTACTAGTAGAGAGACGCTGCCAGGTAGAATTAATTCACACACGCAATCGCTCTCACTAATGCATTCATATGAATGTAATCTTTACTGTGCTGCTTTATCTGTATCTGATCTGTGATCATAATGAGTGTTTACTATTGTCATTTTGCATTATTGACACTATTTTCCTAATTAATGCTGTTCAGTTGCTTTGTCACAATCTGTATTGTTAAAAGCGCTATATAAATAAAGGTGACTTGACTTGATTTAGAACGAGCAGAAATCTGTGATAAATATAACGACCCAAAGACAAAAGAACGGATAAAAAAGCTGTTATAGGAGCAATAGCCGTGTGGGCAGCACTGTACACAACATGTTTGAGTCTCAGCTCCAGACTTATTTGTTCATTAATGACGTCATCAGCGACTAGTCGACTTCGACTCGACTTTCATCACATAAAAGTCGACTTTAAAAAAATCAGAAGTCGTTCAAACCCTAGTTTTTATGTTTCCTTGTAGATTTAATTATGCATTTATTTATCTTTGTTATTTTAGTATTTTCTTTGTATATTTATTGATGGATTTTTTTTTTTTTGCCAGCTTTGGCATTCCATAATGGCAGTGTTCAGACAGACATTAATTAATATTCAAACTTAAAGCTGATAAGTCAAAAAAGTCAAAGTCAAAGTCTGCTTTATTGTCAATTCTTCCACATGTACTGCACATACATACAGATAATTTAAATTGCGTTACTCTCAGACCCTTGGTGCATACAGATAACACTAACAGTAGAGCATAAAAATACAGATAAATACAGATTAAATATAAAGTACAACTATACAAATATACAATAAGGACATGTAAAAAATGTAAAGTTAAATAAAGCAGCACAAGGCACAAGGCACAGTGCAAACCAGTGAAATAAACAGACAGTGCAGATAAGATGATTGTAGTGCAAAAGAGCTTATTCAGTCTAATTAAAGTGACAAAAAGCTTAGAGAGCAGTTCTTTATTTAAACTGACTGAAGCGGTAGTTGAATGAGGTCAGTTCAGTGCTGAATACTGAATGAGGTAATGAGCAGACCAATGCTGCACAAGGTGACTGATGCAGGTCACAGTTTGTTAGTGGGAGGGGGGAGTGGAAGATGCTGGGGGGGAGGTTCAGAGTTCAGTGGTGCCTGGGGCAAAAGAGGTGAGGGGGGGCAAGGTCGGGAGGGAGTTGATGAATGAAGCTGTCCTTCAGTCTGCTGGTCCTGGCCTGGAGACTCCGCAGTCTCCTCCCTGATGGCAGCAGACTGAAGAAGCTGTGTGTTGGGTGGGTGGGATCACCTGCAATGCAGAGGGCTTTGCGGGTGAGACGGGTTCCGTAAATGTCCTGGAGGGAGGGGAGAGAGGCACCAACGATCTTCTCAGCTGCTCTCACTATGCGTTGAAGTGACTTGCGGCAGGATACCACATACCACACAGTGATGCAGCTCGTCAGAATGCTCTAGATGATGCCTCTGTAGAAGGTGCACATGATGGGGGCTGGGGCTCTGGCTCTTCTCAGTTTGCGGAGGAAGTAGAGATGCTGCTGCGCTGTCTTGGTCAGTGCTGTGGTGTTGTCAGTCCAGGAGAGATCCTCCGTGATGTGCACACCCAGGAACTTGGTGCTGCTCACTCTCTCCACAGTCGCACCACTGACGGTCAGAGGAGCATGCTGAGTGTGCACTTTCCTGAAATCAACAACAATCTCCTTCGTCTACTCCACATTCAGAGAGAGATTGTTGTCACTGCACCACCCGGCCAGGCGGCTCACCTCGCTCCTGTAGTTTGTCTCATCTCTGTTGCTAATGAGACCCAC